CTCTATCAGTATTTATGTGTTTTAGTTTTCTTTTCCAGCTTGAAATTATTGTATAATTTACTCTAAATGAAGAATCTCGTAGGTCAAGCTAGTTGCTCTGTGACTTCAACAATCACTTTGACCTTATCATTTGTTGGAAGATAAAGCTAATTATGTAGTTCAAATAGTTAAACTTAAGGGTGTTCTATAGGCTTTAGTCTCGATAACCCACTTCTGTCTTAGCTTACTCAATGGAAAATAGAATCAATCCCACTAGAACATACTGTTGTTTAGATGGAAAATATGATGATGCTTTATATCTAAACTAGTTTCATCACATGGAGTAGACATTTTTTTCGCGCTTGTAGATAACATGGAATAACCATCTCTTTCTTTGTTCTTCTTAGCATGGCTTCAAAGTCGACATAATTGCCATCTGGATTCTATTGTTGTAGCTTGACAATAAAGAGAACATCTTACTGTGGTACTTATACTTTTTGTCTCATTTGCTTTGATCCAGGGTCGATGTCGTAGTCTTTGTCATATGGGAACTAGTGATCTTAGCATTCCTGGTGTTCTCAGCAGTATCCTTGTACTTCAGGCGGTTGCAACTCGCATTCATCTTGGTTTGTGTCTCCTTACTATTGCTCGTCTGTATGAAAATCACAAAGCAAGTGAGACTAGCCAGGAAGAAGAAGCGAAGGATGCTTCTTCCTCTCTCTATGTAAAGAGCGAAAACCACTTAACATTTGCAAACCTTTGATCTTCTTACGCAACAAAAACCCAACTATTCCATGGACGCTGTGTCCATATGCATTGATGAAGATGACAGTTAAGCTCAGACTGACTCCGCGACGCATTGCTTCTGTCCTTACAAGAATAGACCTGACCTGAGGTAGGACATCCAGGAAGAAAAATGATCTCTGGTTAAACCGTTTCATTGTGCAGTCTATGGTACTCAGAACAAAAGTGGTTTAAAAGGTTGTTTCTCTGTATAAAGTGGTTCTGAGATCAAACATGAACGAAAGGGAAAATAGTATGGAGGTTGTTTTGCTTGGCACAATCACGGGAAATTTTTTTGTTTACGCAATTTTGTGATTAATTTGACTATCTATCTATGTATATATTATTACACTTAATATCATATGGTATACTTGTTTAGATTTGTAGGCTGTGAAATCTTTATAGAAAACGGTTTGCAGGATTTTCATGTGACTAGCAAAAAGTAAGAAAGCGTAGAACACTCATGAAAGTAGAAGAGAGAACTATAAAATTTTAAGTAGCAAGCAACTTTCTCGAAACGCTCACATGTTTCTATTATCACCAACTTGTGCATCTCTCCTTTACACTGCAACATACTAGAGTAATTTGTTGCAAATATTTTAAAAATGTGATAATAGCTTTGTATTACATGTATTGTTATAGTCTATTACCAAATAATCAAACATTTGTCTACAAAGTTCATTAATAACAAACAAAAAATGTTAATTAGGTGTATGAAAACGGTCAAAACAAGTTTATTAGTAATAAGTCGTAGTTCGTGAATAAAGGTTTTAAAAGAAGCAAAATCTCTAGATATTTGTAGAAGGTCAGTAGATAGCTCCACGAGTGGTCGTGACTCGTGAAGTCGTGATCCAAGATTCCACATTGTGGACAACTTTTTAAAAAAACACGAACACTCTTTTCCCTTCACACATATCAAAATCCAGTATCTTGGCCCAAAATTGGTTATATATATAGAGGCATTGAAGCACTTTATAATGGCATACATATACACAGCCACAACGATAAAAACCAGAGCCAAAGCAACACAAATACCAAACAAAAAAATATATGAAGAAACTATATTCTAAGGGGATTAGACTCTCAGAATTGATGGAGAAATGGAGAAAAAGAAAGAAAGGGCATTTCGCAGTGTACACGAAAGACGGGAAGAGATACGTTTTGCCATTGGATTATCTCTACCATCCGATCTTACAAGTGTTATTGGAGATGGCTGAGGATGAGTTTGGGACTACCATTGATGGTCCTTTAAAGGTTCCTTGCGATAGAAGTTTATTGGATCACATTATCATGCTTGTGAGGAAGAGTATGTTCCATGATCATGATATTGGTGATTTGGAGAAGTCAAAGGTTTCTTCCTGCAAGGGAGCTTCAATGTCCACTCTCTTTCGTGGACAAAACAAGCTTCAGTCTTTAGTATCCTAACTATTCAGAGTTGTGAATTTGAAGATATGGTGTTGAAGAATACTAGA